TATTTGATAAATATAACACAGAAAAGTGAGGGCACCTAGTTTTAAATATGGAAAATATGAAAATTTTATTATAATATGTACATAAAAAATTCATCCTAGTTAGTGTTCACTTTAAAATTAGAGATGATATGTGTATCATTTAAGGATATTTAAGAGATGTCAGCGTAGTTTTCCTTTTCTTATTTAAATATAACTACTCCCTCCGTTTTTTTTCATAGTCGTTTAAGGTTTTGCACGGGAATTAAGGAAATCATTGATATTTTAGTTTTCAAAAATATTTATTACTTACTTTCCTATTTTACCCTTCTTTTTTTTGTTGCATTTTTTAGACTGTTGAACTACTCCATTAAATAGTTGTCCCTTTTTTTATATTTTTTTATAGTATTTTGTTGGGAATATATTGCTCTTATAAATGCACATTAACTTTATATGAGTAGTTAGAGAAAAATTAGGTAGATATTAAAAATAAATACACACATTTTTCAGGAAACATGTATTAATTATCAAGGGTAAAAATGGAAGAAAAAAATTAATAACTCATTGATTTTAATAATATGACAATGAAAAAAAAACAACAAACTCTACCAAAACGACTATGAAAAAAAAACGGAGGGAGTAAAATAAAATTTGTTTAAATGTTAATGAGAAATTGAACTTTTAATCAAAATATTTTCAAACAGGGCAAATGTATGATGATATTACTTTTATGTTTATATCATTCTATCATTTCATTTATTTCATGTGAAACATTTAATTGTTAGTAAAAATATTACATTAAATTTAATATTATATAAATATCTTAATCTATCGATCACTATACATGATGATATTGACTACTTATAGAATTAAAATAATATTTTCTTAAATTATAAAATTATAAAATTAATTTTAAATTTAACAAACTAAAAATAATTTTATCTTAAATTACAAAGACTAAAAGTATATTTAAATATAAAAATATTTATTAATTATAATATTTAATTACATAATATTCAATTTCATGATATTTAATTATATAATTACAGTATGTAACGTAGTAAGTTATTTCAGAAGACCCAAAAGCCCAATATGGGTGATTTAGTAGCCCAGAATGGACTGTTTCCAATTTGGAACGAGCCGTTCCAAACTACTAAATTGACCTGTAAATCGTAGTTGAGAACGGGCTGTTCTGGATGGAGTACGGGTCATTCTGAATGGAGAACGGGCTGTTCTAGTTTAAGAATGGGTCGTTCTGCATGTTATTTTTGCACATGATGAAGGGGTGCAGAACGGGTCGTTCCGAATTTGAAACGGGCCGTTTTGGCCACTCCTGAACTTCTATAAATAGGGGTTGTGTGGTTGAGGAGAAAGTGAAGTTTTTTAGAGAGAAATTTTAGATAAAAGGACTTTAGGTCTGTGAGCTCCTTTCTCTCCCAAATTTCTCTGTATGATTCTTTTTCTCCTCTAGACCACTAATGTCTTCTGTCTTTTCTTTAAATTCAGACTAGAAAGCTTGTTTTGGGTGGATTGAAGTTTCAGGTTGAGCTTTGGAAGGAAATTCTACTTCTCCTCAGTTCTTGGCCATTTTGAGCCAATTTTCAGGTAAGGGAAGCTAGAATGTTTGTTGTTTAGGTTGCATGTGAGTTTAGAAACTCAATTGATGCATGAAAGTCGGGGATCCATGGTTGGATTGGAGAATTCGCTCATTTTTTTTGGGTTTTGGGGAAAATGGGGTTTTTGGTGATTTTGATGCATCGGATGGGTGCATGTGAGATTTAAGTTTATTTTTGAGTTATATGGAGCCTATGCATTGTGTTTTGTGTTTCCATGTGGCTGGATTTGTTGGTTTGGATGAAAGTTTTGAAACTCTCTGATTGGGATTAGGCTGGGCGCAGGTTGAGCGCACCGGGCGTGGAAGAGCTTAAGGCTCTCGGGTTGGATGTTAGGCCGAACGTGATTTGGTTACGCCGGCGTGAGTGTGTTTGATGTTTTTGGATAATTGAAATTGATATATGATGTATGGTGAGGTGTGATTCATATGTATGCTTGGTAATGATATATATGCATGTTTAAATATGATATGACATGTGTATATGTTCATATGTGTATGATTGTTGATCATGATGGTGGGTAGACCATGTATGATGTATGATTATTGCATGTGATGTCTTATGGCATGTGTATGATTGTTGATCATGATGGTGGGCAGACCATGTATGATGTGTGATGCATAATTGCATGTGATGCCTTATTGCATGAGTCTAGCCTAGGACTTGAGGAGAGGAAAATTATTTTCGAACTGGAAGAGCTCACATAGAGTCTCTTGAGAGTGGTGCTTGGATAAATTACTGATATATGAGAGTGGTGCTCAGGTAGGCCACTGGGTTGGGTGAGTCTCCTCTAAGTCCTTAGCTAGTGTTGGAGCGGGGTATGAGGCCGAGGGTTATTCCCTTAACCAAGTACTCGGGGAGGTGCGTGGATCCTTGCGGATAATCGGTGGGCGAACTCCACAATTTAGTTGGTAATGCATGTCAAGGTCGTGGTAAGCCTGTACCCAGTTGTGCTATACCTGACAATAGATCTAGACTTCCAATTGTGTAAGTGACATCATCCGGGTAAACCCGAGTGAGGATTATATCCTGTTTAGCTGTGACCGAGCGGGCGCATTGGGCGTGAAAACGATTGGGGTGGTTTCGATAGGATGAAATGTCACTTATACTGCTCTATTGTTAGGGAGATCTCCTAGGTGTATGCGTGACGACATATTAGATAATTGATATGCATTGATATCTGTCATGAGTTGCATGTATTGCATGATTGTTATGATGATGAAGTGTATGGTGTTTGACTTCATGTTTGATGAATGGATGATTTGATTGAGATGGAAGTTCCTTTGGGACTTGAGTTGGATGCATGTGTAGTATAGATTTTATTCTGTACTTGTATGATTGATTTTTGAACTCTAGCTTACCCTTCTGTTTCCATGTGGTGGGACTGCAATGATCATACTTGGTATGAGAACAGGTCAGGGATAGTTGGAGTTGAGGTGACCGCTGCGAGACGGGGAGTTTGATCCTCGTGTTAGAGTTACCATTTTGGGTAACGGTTTTGTTTGTGCTTGACCAACACTAGGAAATATTATTTTGGAATTACTGTACATATATGATGTTCTATTTTGGATACAGAAACTGAGTTATTTTTATTCTTACCTATACATATATGTATGAGTTATCCAGCTTAATATTTCTCTTAGTTTACTAGTAGTAGTGCGATTCCACTAAGTGTAGAGATCATGATGGGTCGTTACACAGTATCCTATGCAATTTCTATGATATTCTTTCATTATTTTTTTTTGCAACTTTATAATTTACATTTTACGTACATTAATAAAACATTTTTATGATACTTATAGTTTTTTTTATAAAGTATAGGATTCAAATTCCGACGTTAAAATATTAGCTAAAGTATAATAATTTTAATTTCAAACATTTTTACTTTATATGTTTCAAATATTAAAAATTCAAAAATTGAACAGAGATCATTCAAATTTCAAAATATACTATATGGTATATTCTCATAAAAAGAAATATTTAAACTCATAAAGGATGTAATTATTTGTGTTTTTTTAAGCGTGGCTACAATAAGAATAAAGATGCATAAATGGTAGAGAAACAGAAAACTGAGCAAGGAGCAGCCTGAAGGGTCATTCATTCACGGCGAGATGGACTGCGGAGATTCCTAGACCTACCATAGCCGCTACGGTGCAATTTGTGATATCATTACATTAAATTAAAGTGTCAATGTACGAACACTTACATACTCATATACATACACTATCAAAGTATACATATACGTGCCATAAGTTATTAGACATTTACGATCTGATAGTGATTATCCTTACCGATAAAAAAAAATATGCATTCGACAAAAAAATAATTTAAATAAACAATAGTCATATGTTTCCATATGCTACTGATCTATTAAGAAAAATGAATTGAAGTGTACTCTGAAAAAGGGAAGAGTATAAGTAAAACCGGGAGAGGGGGACAATGGGAAGCGACAATGTGTACGTAACCTGATGGAGGTGCTTGTGATGCTATACTCTAGGCCTTTATTATTGTGGAGAATAGATAATAGAGAAGAGAAACCTATGCCTATGGTGCTGGAATTACTGATCAAAAGAAAAGAGATCGATTGAGACGAAGAGACATTCGGACTGTCCCACAAACTTTACCAGCTTTATTTACCTAGCTGCAGACTCGCTTTTTCCATCCTAAATTATATCGTATTATATTAGAATTTAGATCATGCTTTTTTTTTAACAGCTAAGAAAATTTTCATTAAAAAGGTACCAGTGGTACCAAAAGAGAAATAAAATAATATACAACATAACCCTTACGTTTAAGACGTGAAAATTAGGAAGAGACAGAAGGAAGCAACAAGCATCATCATATATTCATGTTTAGTTTTGCAAGATCGAATAATGAAGTATTTAGCATCCGGCTTTCTCAACTGTGAAAAAAATAGTGTTAACCCTAATGCTGAAAAAAAAAATACTATTTTGGAACCAAACAACAAGAACCATTTCAAGCAAAGATGGATTTTCCGTAACCATGTTGGGTTTAATAAATTAGATCACTAATGTTTTGTTAAATATTGTCAGTGCTTCTCAGTGGGAGTAGAGAATATTTTTAAGAATCACTACGGTGAGAAGAGGATAAACATACGAAATTATTAGGTAATATTGACAGACTCTTTTTAATCGAATGTAATTAAATATCATTAATTTTTTATAAATTAAAAATTTAAATATATATAATATAAAAATTGACTGAAATCATAAATAGTTAAACAAAAGAGTTATTTCTGCATTTTCTATAGTAAAATAGTAAAATTTTAGAATGATAGTAATAAATTAAAGACACATTTAATAGATAAAAGATAGTACTAAACTAGGAAATAATTTCTGGACAAACAAACAGGGTGAGAATATTAAATGAGTGGATGGATTGCCATTAAAGAATGGAGAGAGAAAGAAGTGTTGATTCCGTGCCCCATAAACATAAACCTATCCATCTATCCCTTCTCCATCCATGGTCAGAAGTAGGTAACTTGTTTTCTCTTCCTCGATTTGATCGTTCCTTCTCTCCGAAACTTGGTTTCTCTCTCTCTCCTGTTTTGTTTTACGCCAGGAATAGCAGCGTATCAGTGGCAGTGCAGGAAAAGAGAGGGAGAGTTTTCATTGGGAAGGTAAAAGCCTTTGTTTGTAGCAGTGCCTTACATGAACCCTCGCCCCTCTCATCTTCGGTAACTCTTCGTTTTCTCAGTGTGCCCCGCGTGCGCTCTGCTGTGCCGTGTCTTCTCACTCACAAGTGTAACCGTGTAACCACTAGAATCATAGTGAGAGAGAAAGTGCGTGGTTCATTTCATTCATTCATTCATTAATGCTCAAAGGGGTGGAAAGAAAGAAGTATTAACATTTAACACCGTGCAGGCTTTGCCAGAAAAGCCAAGTGTGAAAATCTCTATGCTACTTACTTCATGTAACTGACTATAGCCTCCACTATCACTATTTAGGATTTTCTGTAAAAAGCCTGATACTTTTCCCATAAAACCCGGGAGAGCCCTGAAAGACAAACATCACCAGAGCAACCAGACTTCATAAAAAAGAGAGAGAAAAAACATAGGAGGAGAATGGAGTGTCTTTGTTTTGTTGTAACATGTAAGGCTAGTGAGTGAACAACTGTAGTGAGCTACAGAAGTTAATAGTAGGCAAAAAGGATAAGACAGTAAGTGTGTGTGAGTGTATGTGTTGACAAGTGAGTGAATGTGCAAGCCATGGAGGGTAGTAGTTCTAATGGCCCTTCTTATTTGTTGGCTTTTGGAGAAAACAGTGGTGGGCTATGCCCAATGACGATGATGCCTTTGGTGACTTCCCATCATGCTGCTCATCATCCAATAAATCCTAATCCTAGTAATAATACTAATAATAATGCAAATACAAACTGTCTCTTCATTCCCAACTGCACTAACAGTGAAACTCATCCTTCTATCATGCTTGACAATAACCACAACAACACCACCGATGACAACAACACTGGGTTAGGGTACTATTTCATGGAGAGTGGTCACCACCACCACCACCGCAACAACAATGGGAGCTCCTCCTCTTCCTCTTCTGGGGTCAAGGCCAAGATCATGGCTCATCCTCACTATCACCGTCTCTTGGCAGCCTACGTCAATTGTCAGAAGGTTAGAATTTAGAAAAGAAGAAAAAGTTTGTTTTTAATCCTCTTGTGTGATGTGTAGTGTACCCCCCACCCCCTCTTTGTGCTGAAAAGGCAGACAGATTTTGACTCAGTAGTTGATAACGATTGTTGCTTAATTAATTTCTGCACCCTCCCTTTCTTTGGCAAGGTTGGATCTGTGTACTGTGAGCTGTGGACTTGTTTTTTTGTTCCTTTCTATTAAAAACACCATGTTGTTAAGTTGTGTTCCATCGTAAGAAAGAGAGTTGGCAAAGAAGTCAAAAAACCCTTTAAAGTAGAAGTGACAAAGACAGCTTTCTTCATGGAAATTATATCGTGGTTTTTGGTGATGCATTTATAGTTTTCACACCTTCCTTTTAGGTTGGAGCACCGCCTGAAGTGGTGGCAAGGTTAGAAGAAGCATGCGCTTCAGCAGTGTCAATGGCAGGTGATGCAGCTGGATCAGGTTGCATAGGTGAAGATCCAGCTTTGGATCAGTTCATGGAGGCTTACTGTGAGATGCTGACCAAGTACGAGCAAGAACTCTCCAAACCCTTGAAGGAAGCCATGCTCTTCCTTCAAAGGATCGAGTGCCAGTTCAAAAATCTTGCAATTTCTTCCTCAGACTATGGTGATGACCCCCCCTCTCTCTCTCTCTTCATCTCTCTGCTATCTTCTGAAAATATTCTTCATATTTAAAACTATTTTCTATTAATGTCGAGTATAAAACCTAGATACAAATTTTTAGATTTTTGTGTTGTCATTCAATCAAAACTAGAGTTCCACCTCAGTAATCCGTAAGAAACTCCAAATCCGATCGGAAAACAAATCATACTACACTTGAGAAACAGTGTCAAAGTATTTTTTTAACGTTAATAGTTTGGTATTTGATGTTTGAGTAATTGAATACCCATGCACGCTTGTGTTTTCAGGAACAATGTTTTGTTAGGATTGAAAGGTGCTTAAAGTTGATTAGGCACCGCTTTTCCTTTTCAACTTTAAAATTCTTTATTAATCATTGGGCTATCTTTTTTTTTTTATTGTCTAGTCCTGTTGTGCGAGGGTTTCAAATACTAGTAACGGTGGCCTTGTTCAAAGCGTGGCTTTGCCTGTCAAAGTGTAGATGGTGGTTTTGTACATATCTACATCCTCTTCTCGATGTTAGTGCATTGAATGAACTGTTTTGGTATCTTGCTAATTCGTCATTTCGTGTGTTCCTGATATTGACACATATCCAGCTGTTTTTTTTGGGAAATATAAGTCTTTTTAGTCGCATTCTTGTCTTTCTATTTCTCCATTTGATTTTTACCGCGATTCTATGGTTTCGCTGGTTTTGCTTCCTTTAGTATAATTGTTAAAGATTCTACTTGGAATGAATCCAAAGGTGGATGAAACGGCCGAAGGCAGGTCGCGGGTGAATTTTGGTCTGGTAAATAACCTAGGGATTAGGGTTTCTTCTGCACTGGTGCCCTGGAGTGGTAATTGCGGGGTAGGAACTTGGCTAGATACCCTCGTTGGAAATGTAATATATACAGACAAAAAGTGGCAGAAAATAGCTGAAGTCCTCTGGGGATAAGTGCAGGATGAATTTTTAAGTTTGCCAGGGTGAATTTAAGAACTACTAAAAAACTTACTACTATAATTCTTGCAATTTTATCTATTTTAGAGGAAGCATTTTTAATTATATCCCTGTCTCCACCTAATTTTTAAATATCGTATACTTTCTTAGCTGTGGAATGAGGATGCCGTATTAGGAGGTTGATATTTTTTTAGTAAGCAAGAGAGTCAAGGTACTCTAAAATCCTTTTACTATGTTGAAGTGTCGTGACTTAGAGCAATGGTTAAGGAATTAATTAATAGAAGGATTTTAGGAGTTTAGTGAAAATTATGTATTTGTAACACTTGGTTATTCTTTCAAACATGTTAATTTTTTTTTACTTTTAATTTTTTAACCATAATGATTAGCAAAACAGTTTTAATATAAATGATTTTATTAATTGTGGGTAATATGATGAAAATAAAATGAAGGATAAGGAGGGTAATATGATTTCTTCTATTTATTAATTTGATGTGGGTCAGTTAATGAATTTTAAAAAAGCATTTATTTCACTCAATTCATCTCATTAATTGTTTTCTTAGTATGTGTTTTTATCTTCTAGATAAAAATAAAATGAAGGATAAGGAGGGTGATCTGATTTTTTCTCTATATTAATTTGATATATGGATCAGTAAATGAATTTACAAGAATCATTTATTTCACTCAATTCATCTCATTCCTACCATTTGGAAGGGAGGAAATTAGAGAGAGATTATTTGTAATTAAAAAACACTTTTGGAAAAATGTTTTTTTGCTGTTGAGAATGGTGAGGAAAATGGGTTAGAAGGGGAGAAAATTAATAAAATGACAAATATACCCCTACCCTAATTTCATTTTGGTGTGACAGCCTTTAGTTCTATGTAACTTTCAATTAACTTCAAATTAGTCCTTGTTTGGAGACAAGGCAACCCCTTCTTTTAAGTCCTAAAACTGTGAGAGGTTAACTGATTGACTTTTTGATCGTTTGTATTTAATGAGGGCTTTCTAAGTGTAAGAACTAATCTAAAGTTGATAGGAATTTAAAGGGTTAAAGCGGCTATTTAGTCAATGATCTATATTCTGTTATATTTACAAGGGTTTAAATGTCATTTAACAGTTAAAGTTGATTCATTTTTTTCTTACTTTTTTCAGCTTTATTTATCCCTATTAAAACGATGGAAGAGAAAATTAATCTTTCACTTTATTTTCTAGTCTTTTACGTTTCTGTAGTCCCTGTAACCAAATTCCTAATTATGAGGTTATAGTTGTTGAGAGACATGATAATCAATCTATCACTTCACAGCTTTATTAATTAAAGGGCCTTTTTTGTGTTAGGGGTTAACATGATTGATGAGTTTTCAATTAGTAACTTATTATTTGTTATTAGGATAATAGGTCTTCGTGGTACAAGAATTGTTTATGATTGATAAGTGGTAAGCCGAAGTTTGATCCTCCCTGTCCCAATTCTTAATTAAAAGTTGGGTTTTGAACACACCAAATATAATTGTCTATTTACATTGTTCCGCCTCTAGCCCAAAGAGCTCTTTCTTAGAGGATTTGTTTAGTGGGTTTAAGCTGTTTGGATAATTGGTCCAAAATAATGATAAAATCTAGTTTTTCATCTGTGTCACCCTCTATGTTTCCTCATGCTTTTGCGTGTTTATCATTCTCTGTTATTGGACTAATAGAAATTGTGTAATTTCAAAAGGGTGACTATGCTATTGTCTTAATGCAGAAAGAGTTTGTCTCTTTAGGTGCAAAGGCATTTTTCATGCTTGTTATTAGAATTATGACCTATTGATCATAGATTTGTGGCACTAATTTATTTCCATGTCTTTAACTGGTAATGGATATACATACTGTCATGTCAACAGAATGCTGCTTGTTCAATGAAATCTATAGTTAAATATGACAAGTTGATAACCATCTGAGTCAAACTTTGCTGCTGTTATGCTAATGACTACAAATGAAAATGAGTGAGTAAAAGCCTATTGCATGTTGCTCTGGATGTATAAATCCCGATCAATCACTATTTTCTAACTTCCAAATTCCAATCATGTACGGCCACATGAAATGACTTCTCTAACACTTCGATGTATAGTTTACAAGATTCTATTGGAGTAGAGAAACCTATTTATATATTGAAGAGATCTTTATGTTCTTGTTCCCGTCACTACTATCATAGTTCATATATTAGTTTTTCAATCATGGAAGTCTCCTTGTATATCTATTGTGTAATGTGCTTGCTTGCCCAAAAAGATTGTTTAGGATGAAGGAGATCCCCTTTGTATTTCATTTTCAATACTTATTTATCTATTTGATCTGTGCGTATGTATTTAATGGAAATTAATAAACCACTTTTATTGATGTTAATTTCTTGATGTTTTAATTGTTGCTTTTACTTTTCTATCACAAAATTGCAATGCATTTTATATTGGTTCTTGAGAACGTTAACTGTATTAAGAGTTGGTGTGATTTCAAATAAATATTGACGATGACCATGAGAGTGGTGGAGCCTTTGTTTGTGAGGTAGCTATTCTTATAGTAACCTTTTCTTCGTTACAACTTTAGGTTCCCCCTTGTTTTACTTTTATGTAGGCTTCACTAGGGTCTATGTATGTATGTTGATAAAGTAGCCCTTCATAAGTTGATTCGGAGAAATATACATTCACGAATATACTTTTTCGTCCCTAACTTTGTCGGGTCTGAAGAAAAAGGGTGCGTCCATTATCTGAGTTAGATGCTTGGAATATTGTTTCTCATTGGCGCCCGGCTCTTTATCCTATGCACCATTTCAAGTGCAAACTTTAAAGTTTCATTGGGGTGAATCAATTATTTCGTAATGATTGCATTTTGTACTTGTAGTTATTCATTTAAGTTCTCCTAAAATGTTTTCTTAATAAATTGTCTTTATCATTCAATGAAGAAACCAATGCAATGGTTTATATTTTAATTTTCTTTGTTAAATATGTATTAAGATCACTAGAAAATATTTTAAGATAAAATAATTAATTTAATCATCCATGTATGTGCCACCAAAACTTGTCTTTGACAATAATGTAGTGTCTTTATTGTTGTGCCCAAAGTGTGTGGGTATCCTCCAAAGTCCCAACGGAGTTAACTGTTGGCCACGTAGATGCATACATGGATGCCACGTGGACGCCAAATCTTGTGAAAACACCTAGAACCAGAACGGGCCGTTCTGGATTCAGAACAGCCCGTTCCAAGACTGAGAATAGAATATTATTTATTAATTTT